AGACTATTTGCAACCATTTTTTATAAAAGAATTACATGTTTAAAAATTTATTAAGCCACCAATGAAATGATGAATTCCAAATTAAACCTGTATGAATAAAAAGGAAGGCAAAATGTACACCAGTTCCATGTACCGGTATGTTTCTACTGTAACTTTCCATCCAAAAGCCCATTCACTTGAAGTCCAGATACTGAAGTGAGGATGTATTTTACAATGCACAACCATGAGCAAATGTCCGTAGTGTTAGTGTTTTTTGGGTTGTCTTTTTTCTCCATATTACAAATTGAAATTTTACATGTACCGGTACATGTATGCAGACACTGTCAAACGTAACTGTCAGACGATCTGTGTACCAGTACATGTATTATTGCAGTATGACAGCATATCACATGATCTTATACCCAGCAATATTATTGACATGGGTTATTCTTCCTGGTAATGATCAACTGCATCCAGGGCAGTCTCAACAAGGAAAAAGTTCGTCACACTTTGAACTACATGTAGGCCTAATGCCTAATGCAGTGATGGGATAATCTAAGAACTGCTAAGTCATTTTAAAAGTATTGTTGTTGTCAGCAGGCCCAAAAGCGAAAGCGAAAGCGAAGCGAATGTGACATCCTAGAACATTTGCTGTGAAATGTGTTCAATTTGTGCAAATTCACTGCGCGAAAACACTCCATGATGTCACAAATTCACGAACCTACCTTTGGATGTTGAATACAAACGCAAGATATTATTGCAGAAATGCATAATTCCAGAACTTTGTGAAAATACCTTCTGCTATTGTGACAATTACATAGATGTACATGACAATTTTGTAAACTTACTTGTGTGTGCTCTGACATGCTGACACATTGCCAAACGTGTACAGAATTCCATAGACCTACTGTACATGTAAGACATAATGGTGTCATGCTTGATTTACATGTGCGCTTTTCTATGGGAGCCAAGTGGGGCAATTGGATGGCGTCCCAACCTGGCTCCCATAGGAAAGCACATATATCTGTGTAAAAAAAAGTGTGATGTCATGTTGTTTGTGCATGTTTGTCTATTGTCACATTTGTCGACATTCTCGACAAGATGGAAAATAATAACAAGTGCAAAACACTCATGCACATGTACACTGTACAGCCCTTATAATGATTATTGTCAAACTAGAGAGTGTCCAATACATTATTCCAAATGGCCAAATATATACATGTAGCACGTACCGGTATATGTACATGTGCCTTGGTACATTAAATTCAAATGGCCAAATATAGCACATTGGGTTTCTGGGTCTCAAGGACTTGGCACAGATCCAAGAAATCATGTAATATAACGGCCTGGTTATATTAGGAGACTTGTGTCCAGAGCAGCTGCGTTACGTGACGTGATGTCTAGACTCTAGACAGAAGACTGCAGGATATTCTTGACTCTCTCGCAGCGAGAGGGTCATCTTCATTAGAGTTTGCTGAGAGGGCAACTGGAGTCAGGATACAACTGACACGCATTCAGATAATAGGCTCTCAGGAGAAAGATCTTCCTTGGCAACAGAAGAAGTACCGGTACAATGCACTTGTTACAATGATGCATGTACATCAATGTATGTACAATGTATGTATCGTAATTGGTGCTATGTTTATCTCCGTTCCAGTTCACTGGGTAATAGCAAAGGCATAATCTGTGAAATGTGTACATACCGTACATCCTTGTTCCATGCTTACAGTACATGTACATGTACAGCGTATGTGTAACATGCAAATTTACATGAAGCACATGTCATAATGTACATGTACCGGTACATTACTCTTCCATGAATGGTGATGCGCACAGTAACACCCAGGTTACAGGAAACAACCATTGTTGTCCCATACTACTATGGGGACCGAAGACGCTGTGGGGACAGCAGAAAATCCCCATAACTCGGTCCTAATTTGCCTAACAATAAAAAACTTCCCATAACGCGGTGACGGCCCGCCCACACACGCGTATACTACCGGTATACCGGTACCTGCATATGTGTACATAATGAAGGCACAGTTCTCTTCTTAAGAAATTCTTACGTGGGAAATGTTTCCAAAAATTATGAAATTTCAAACAGAATTATGAGAATATCCCCTACATCAAAATAATCAGATTACAATGTATGTTCTCAATCAAAAATCCTTTCATCTCCCTCCTCTAAAGTTATCCCCCTAAAAAAAATTGTCTTAAGTTTTTCCCAACATGCATTTTGAACTGACCCACATTTCTTGCAGATGTTTCATCTAAGTGATCAATTTTTGGTGCCCTGTTATGTATCCTGCAGCATCTGTCTGCAAGTTGAGCAGATCCCCTACATCGCTGATGCATCCTCCTAATGCCTAGCGATTCCTGCATTTCCCTTGGCGACATGATGGATGAGACGGGCAAGCATCTCTCTCTATCTCTCTCCTCAATGACACATCCTTTCCATGAGGAAAAAAACACTCCGCCAACAGTCTACTCTGTCAGCATCTTTCATTAAATCATATTCTGGCTGCGCAGAGCAGACGGTTTGCGGACCGGGTCCTTCTGATTGGACAAGGATGACCCGGGCTTGCGATATGCAAATTGCAGAGGTCATGGCCAACTCATCTCGCATAGATAAGAGTACTTCATGCAAGACTGAAGATAGATGAGAGGATGATGCAATAAACATGCTGCTGCCCTGTGTGATGAATTTGTAGTGTCCCCAAAAAGCGACATGTAATACCGGCATAACCAATGTCCTACAAATGAGTCTTCAGGACTTTTTCCATTTATTGTTTTTGCATGCAGTAGGAAGAGCATATTGTGAGTTTTTTTTATACATGTTCAGTCTGATGTACCTTAATTAATTAATACAGTATACAGGTTATTACAATGGTGAAAATATTGACCGTTCTTTAAATTCCACTTGGCAAGGGTTTTAAAAAGGCCTACATGCACTGTGCATCACTGTACAACTCAAAAGAAGCTCCTTTGACACATGAAAACCATCTACATTTTATGAACTGTAACCTGCAGTTTCTCACTAGATACCCCGGTACTTGTACATTACGTGAACAAGGGAAGGTTGGAAAAATGTGCAAGCCAATTCATTTTAATTCCATTTTAATTAATTTAACATATTCACTTATGAATACATTATTCTCCCAAACCCTCTGCAGTCCAACCATGTTTGCCAATATTCTTAGAATTCCAAACTTGTTTGTTCACTCTACTTAACACTGCTTCACCCACACATCATCACCATGTAGGTCCGGTAATCATGAAAGACTATTCAACGACAATGACTTCCTCCCTGATCAATAGATGCTTTCAGTTTCTCCTTCAAGTCAAGTATACCCCGGGTTGATTACTCTTTGGGTTTATAGGGGGAGGGGGTAATCAAGGTCTTTGGGGAATTCAGAGCTCCCTGGCAAGAGAGAAAATCAAAACAGCATACTGGATTCTTAAACTGGATGCCATCGTGCAATCACCAGCGGCTGGCTCTTAGGCTTTAGGAAGTGGAAATAATGGAATCCCACTTTGGGGTTGAATGACTGCATACCTGGGCACAATAATAGTTCTCTCTAATCCTAAACCTAATCCCCCCTTTTTCTAGTTTGGCTCCAGTTGCACACAATTGCTCTGGCATTCTTACCCTGCCGTAATGTGGGCTAATTCCCCCAGCGATGCTCTATCATTTGAGTAAACTGGGCAGGCTTTGCCGAGATTCCAAACCGGATTGACTGAGCACCCTAACACCCCCCCCCCCCCCAACAATGCGCATGCCAACACAGGTTAATGAATGAGTACAATCAGTATACAGTATTGACACAAAAACTGTAGCGCATTGCACTCACGAGAATTACGCGTTATGTGTACAGTGTCATCCAATGTACATGTAAGTGATGTACAAATTGTACACGTTTCTATTTTCTGTAACATTACTGACCTACATTTGATGATGCTGTTATCGTGTTTAAAATTTCAACCAAATTTTATATCTACCGGCAGTTACAAAAACTAGCTCAGTGATGACATGAAGTGACAGAAGTGGGTACCTACCGTACCTAAGATTTTGGATAAGCACCCCCAATGCAATATCCATTAAAAACCCATTACTACTTTTTCACCCTTTTTTTACGGATAGCTGCCAGGATGGAAATGTGCAGTGAATGTTATGCTGCATTGTGGGACAGTTTGCGCTGCACAAAATCCCCTTTCGTCTTGCAAACTGTCCCAGGATGCAACATGCATCATACATGTACCGGCACTGCACACTTCTGATCTTCCCATAAAATGGTCAATGTTTGCTTTGCAATGTTAGTGTTTTGTCTGTTTTCCCTTCCAAGTCTTATGACCAACATTTGTGCCAGAGATCTGTATGATGTAGTGAGACTTTGCACCACTATGACAGGGGGTGCCTGTGGAATGTGCCAGGTATGGGGCTGTATTTGCCCAAATGATTTTGGCCCTAAGCCACTTGAGGTATTTCACTATCCACAGTTATGTTTGGTTAGGCAGAGTTTACAATGTTTGATTTCAAAGACAGGTATGTAAACTTTGGCCAACTACACACAAGTCTCACATGTGCCTTGGCTGCATCAATAATGTAGAAAGCAAAGCACTAGATCTGTATAGTTTGATGACAAGACTAGAATTGCCCAATGGAGCTTGACCCGAACATCTCCGATTATGACACTCTTTATATTCAGTGATTCAGTTATTAAGTCAGTGACTCAGTCAATCAGAGAGAACACTCAGAACAGTAGGCCGGCCCTTTGGGCAAAAGGCAAAACGAAAGAATATCATGTTTTGACTTTATGCATACATGTATGAGAACACATGACTCATTCCAGTACACAGTACATGCACACGTGTACAAAAAAAATTTTTACGTAGATGCTCATTTTGTTGGTAGTTGCATGTACTGAATTTACCATATACATGTAAAGGCTGAGATATTGAGTTCTTCTAAACTTCCCCACTGTTAAAATTATAAAACAGTTTCAATTTGTGACAATACAAACCTGTGTGTGTTCTCTGGTGAGCTTTCAAGTGTGAGCTCTTGGTATAGACCTTCCGACACCCTGGGAACTGACACTTGTGGATTCTCCGCTTGCTGTCGGGGGATTCCGCCCGCTTCCCCAAAGACCGCGCTGGATTCACGCTCCGCACGCGCACCGTTGTCCTGTCCACGATAGAACCGTTACTGTGCACCATGCTGACGGCGACCAACTGGTTGACTGGTACTGTCACGGGCATGACCCGCGTGATTTCTGGGGAGGAAGGCGGGGTGAGCGTCACCGTACTGACTTTAGCCTTAAACTCGGCCCGGAAAGGGTCCTGGGTGACTGTGGCCGTCGGGGAGGGCGAGAGCTCCCCTGAGCTGTCCCATGATGCACCGCTAGAGCTGGACAGGCTCATGGTGTCAATGTCAAAGCGGCTGTCGTTGCTCTCGCTGTCCGATAGGCTGAGTAAAGTCTCCACCTCCTTTTCACGGATGACTTGCTGGCAGGACAGGATGAACTTGTTCCAGGGGTTCTCCGGTTCCTTGATCTTCTTGTCTTGTGTCTGGCAAGGTTCGGCCTTCAGGTACCGCTCCATCTCCAGACAGTTCTGAAAAACAAAGTCACAAAAAACAAATTCAATTATTCATTCTATTTAACAGTCACATTTAATCCAATGTCTCCATCTCCAGATAAGGTGAGGGTCAGAGCATACTGACCAATACGTCTCTGGTTATTTAAAAAAACAACCTCCCTTTATAGAGATAGTCACTTTAAATTATTTTATCCTAAATCTTCTCCAAACTCTCCACCATGCAAAGCCTCAAAATCACACTTTTGTCATTCAGGTTGCAAGCCGTTCAGATTTCGCATCCAACACTGAAATTTGCTATACACTATGACCAAGTTATACCACTTAGTGGTGAGTAGCAACTTAACTAAATTCATTGAATCACTTGTAATATATTTGAACAGTTGGAAGGCCCTAGCTGGCTATTGACTAGAACGTTGTTCAAGTTGAATTTAAAGTGGATGATCATCAAGTCAGCCAAAAGTCACTTCCAACTTGGGTCTAAATTGAACCACCTTAGGACCAATATCATTTGTCAGGGGATGGGGATAGCAGACTATCAATGTACAAATGTACACGGGGGATTGCTGGAATGCAGTCACACCTGAAAATTAAATACCCTGACTTCACACTGCTGCAATACGTACATGTACCGGTATGTATCTACATGTAACTTAAATGTATGTACATGTACATGTATCACATATTAATTCAAATGTTCAACGTAAATTCAAATGTTTAACTTGAATGGCAATGGCATACATGGATATACAAGGATGTATGTACAATGCACCGGTATGTATACTACGGTTTTTTGGGGATGGAGGCTTAGAACACACAATTTGTCAATCTTAAGGAATTTTAACAAATCTTTACCCTCCTTTTAGGAGATTTTCTAGGGGGGGGGGGGCTCGCAAAAACTAGAAACTAGAAATGTTGCACGTGTACAACAGAACTACCCACGAACAAAAGTTCTGAAAAACCACATTTCCTGGATAGGAGCACGTACGAACTTGCAAGATTTGTTTATTTATGGGCAATACACTTGTTTTTGTTAAATGCTTCCCACTCACATTCCTGATTTCCAAATCTATTGAAAAGGTCCTCCCGAAAAAGTGCAAGGTTCTATTGTGAGGCAGTCATGCCTGACCCTCAGAGAAGGATCACAATGCCCCCAAACTTTCCAATGACTACAGTCATCCATCACAGCCCGACTTTTCATTCACAAGGAAAAAAACTGTCAGAACTTGTAGACCAAAAATCAGAATCTGAAAACAAGTTTGGTGACCTTCCATGGAATTAATTTGATTTCAGAAAAGTTCACTGATCGTGTGCTTCATTTCCTGGTCAAAATTTGTATTGAATCGTTGTCGTCAAAGAGCCCCAACTACCGGGACCTGTACAAGTAATATTATTGAAACGAGTGGAAAAGCAGATCATGTTAATTTATTATTCAGAGTATTTAGAGTACGGTATTTTTAAGAAATAGTGTGTAGTGCCCACATCCTGCACATTCAAACAAACATAACAACCATGACAAATGTGTTATCAGCCTTGCTGGTTCAGAAATACATACATTTGAACTTATCAGCACAAAAACAATTAAAAACATGCAACAGGATGTTATTCTTTCACTTCTGCTTTATTATGATTTTTGAACTTTTCGGTAGCCACACCGTTATCTTGCACTTAAATGTGCATACAACCAAACTGCAAACACTTTGCACAGGTACTTTGTACATTTACATAAATTTACAAAATGTACAGGTACATGTACATGTTTGTATCCATAAATAGTCCAGCGGAGACTTGTACCGGGTATGTTGCAAAATTGTGCACTTTTTCATAAAAGCGTGAAATTTGGCACAGATGTTTACATTCATGCAAAAAAGTGTTTTAGACGTGCAGCCATCACAACCTTTAAGGGACGTGGCAGCCATTTAAAAAAGGGGGGACTCATCATGCCCGCAGTGAAAATGGTTGTTCCCTCCGTCACAAAAGCAGGAATTTTCATAAAGACATAATTACATTGATTGTACATGTACCCGGTAGGCGTAAGTGGTTTTCCAGATGTAGAGCCGCCACAAAAGCACCTTTTTGGGGGGCGTGGCAGCCATCTAAAAAAGAGGGGGGGGCAACTACCGGTATTATGCCCACCTTGGGGGAAAAACCATAAATTTGATTTAAAGCACTTGTATATACACGTACGCTTGTCAAAGGTACCCTTTGTCAGTGTGAAAATCAACTTTACAAGTATGTGAAAAAACCTGAATACTCATAATGCCAGTTTCTTGGCACTTAACTGGTACTTTTATTATTGTTACCAGGTTCAATAAATACAAAAAAATCTCCTGGTATCCAGTGAACCATCAAATAATAGTATTAAAAGAAAAAGTTTCAATGAAAAGCTTTGTACACATATGAACTGCAAAAACTTGAATGAGTGGCCCGAAATGCACTTTAAGATAAAGGGATCTGCGTACATATCCTGATCAGGTCAAGGATCTCCAGTTTGGTTAAGGACAGAAAAACCACAGGAATTTGAGGTCCTGAGGTGAGGTGTGATAATATGGGCTAATTCTCGGTAACGTAAGATCTAAAACTGCCACAGACCACAGCAGTCAAGAACTGACCAAAATGCCCTTGCCCTAGTTGCTTAGACAACAGTGTCTGTCAATATTGCTAAAGATGTACCGGTACTTGAAAAATACAATGTTTTCTCTCTGAACCGCCATTTTTTTTTTAAATGTACAAGTCATGAACAATCCAAACTTTTCCAGCCAAGTGTTTCAAAATTCTTTCAAAATCTTTCCAAATTCCACCAATGTACAGGAAAGAATGGCATGTTCTTGACCAATTTTTGAGGTGGCCACCAAGAACCAAAGGATTGGTGACGGAGCTGTACATCCCTGTAATTTAATCCTCCAAGATTCTCAAAAATCTCAAGGTAGATTCCGCAGGATCTAGGAGGGATTATTAAGGTTTAACCAAAGCCCAGGATTACACAATTCTGCTGTGTATGAGTGTTGTACATGCACAGCCTTCTTACATGTAAGTTATTAATATTACAGTACTTCAAAAACATCACGTGAGGCCTGTTCTGATGCCGATATTGAAATTTGGCAATAATGCCAAACACAGGTCTGCAACCTTTATTAGTCATCTAAAAAACACACCAGACATTTCACTTTACATTCATGTACGGTACATACATGTATACATGTCCATGCCAAGTTGGTTATTTTTTTTTCCCCACTGAGTCACCACCAGTCCACTGCCAATGCATAACCAGCCATGCATGTCCATGCATACATGTACATGTACAAGGTACATGTACATTTGCACCGGTAGTATATTTAAGAGTTCAAGATTTAAGCGAACCATAAACTGGCCTCACTCAGCTGGTCAATGTTTGTGCTGGTCCCAGAGGACCAGCCTACCGTCTTCTTTGTACCGGAGTGACTCACTCACTGACTGATTGACTGTCTCTTGTGACTTAGAAAATTAGAACTGACAGAAATTAGTGTTGAACTTGAAATGCAATATTTGACCAGTGACAGACCAATATTGTGATATTTGGCCCAGAACATGTTTTGTACATAGTATGTACCGGTATAGTTACCGGAACGTACAAATGAAACGATGATGAAGTTCTACAAATTTCCTTTCTGGGTTTGTATCTGGCTTGCCAAGGACAAATGAACTTGATTGCCTCATGAGTCAGTATATTATAATGGACGGCAAGTCGCCAATTCTTTTTTCGTGACTGTACATGTTGCAGGAATTCTAGTCAGCAGTCTTGGGTGAATCATGTCTTCCGAGCCATTACTGGGCCCAAAAGCCACATGCGTCATCTGTGTGAATTCTTTGCCAATTAATTCAGTGGCATCAATAAATATTATCTTCTCCTGCTGTCCATATACTAATTTAAGTGTGGAAATCTTGCCTTACAAAGATTTGCAACTTGGGCCAAGCTGCACTGAAACTCTGTACCCAAAGAAATGACCATGGTAATACATGTACCAGCGCAGTAGGTTACTTTAATACGTGTTCTCTTTCTACATGTACATGTACATGTACCTCCATAACTGACATTCGAGAACTCTGGACCAAGGTTTATTTTTTAAAAGGGGTTTTAGTTACTGGCTTTTCAGTTACCGTTCAAGTCAGAAATTTGATCTTGAAATGTTGCTGATCAATGGCTGCGGTCCTTGGGGGAGTTTCAAATCTTTTCAAGATCAGGTTGTTTTGGGGGTGTGTTTTTTTTGGGGGGGGGTGTCTTTCTGCCTTCAGCATTTTAATATTTGCTTTGTACTACAGGGGAACCTTCAACAAGTGCTTATCCGTCTAGAGATACATGTACATATGTAATTCCCAATTTGTTTGTCCCCAAGTTTTAAACTCAACTTGTTTCACTGATACCTCACTGTAATTTTTTTCAGGTATCCCAAAACTAGCGTAACTGTAAATTATGCACAACTCTACTACTACATTGTACACTAGTTGCCAAAGAGTCACCCACTCAGTCATGTAGAGTGTATATTTGGTAACATTAGTTCGAGATGTCAGCCCATGCCGCATACCACATGCACATGTGAAATTCAGTACAACCCCTGATTCTGCAGGTTGAAGTGTGTACAAATGTATGTATAAGTCAAACAGCTTCACAGTTTAAAAGCCAATGACCCCTTATTTCTGTGTTTTGTTGCGGGCCAACATTCACTCTGTGGGAGGCATTCAAAGGGAATTCCACAATATTGTCTGAAGGGACTAACTAGGGGAGCTACTTAAGTGGGGATCAGGGCCTATTTAGGCCTGTGGGAGACAGGACTTTTTTTTTTACTTTCAAGCCATCCCCCTGTTTGTTGGAGTCAGTAAGTTATTGATGAAGTTTGGGCTTGTTTGTCAAGATTTTTTTTAGGGCTGGCTAGGAATAGAAGGGCTGGGATTTCAGCTGAATGAATAAGCCCCAGAGGATTAGCAAAATGGTCCTAGGGACTGCGCTGATAGTTCGAACGAAAATCTGAAACTACAATCAA